TAGGGCTTACAGATATAACTGGAGAGTATCTTTCTGAATACAAGGGAACCCTGCCTTGTTTAGAGAACCTAAACATTTCTCGTTGTGATCACCTCACAGATAAAGGACTGCTGCAGATACTACAGCTTTGTGGAAGTTCACTTAGATCCCTTAATTTATATGAAACAGAAATAACTGGAGAGAATCTGTCTGAATATAAGGGAACCCTGCCTTGTTTAGAGACCCTAAACATGAATTTCTGTAGACACCTCACAGATAAAGGACTACTACAGATTCTTCAGCTTTGTGGAAGTACACTTAGATCCCTGGATTTAGGGTCTACAAATATAACTGGAGAATATCTGACTGAATACAAGGGAAATCTGCCTTGTTTAGAAAACCTGAACATGAATGCCTGTAAACAACTTACAGATAAAGGACTGCTGCAGATACTTCAGCTTTGTGGAAATACACTTAGATCCCTGTTTATTCAGGACACAAATATAACTGGAGAATATCTGTCTGAATACAGTCACCTCAGAGTTGCAAGTTCTGCAAGTTCTGGCAATTTTCGTTTTAAAGATTACGTACCTTTTCTCACTGAAATGTTTTGTTAGTTAAAATTAATCTAATATGTCATGATTTTTGAAAGAAACTGTACTAGAGTGCTGACTGCTGATGACTTTTTTTCAGAAATAAACATTGTACCAAGCAATATTAAAATTTTCAATTATATCCAAACCATGAATAAACTTTAAAGACGAAACATTTCCTTGCTTGAAACTTGTTTTACCCTTAAAATTAAACCCTAGTTACTTGGTGATTTTTTATATTGGTTTTTATCCTCGTAAATAATTTTTCACAATTTTTTGATAGAATATTATCACCTGGAATCATTTAAAAACTAGATATTTATTTAAAATCTGATAGTTTTATGACTATCTATCTATTGTTTGCTGTATTTGTGTATATAATAGATTAGAATTGTTGAAGAATTCCTAGGAAAAATTATACCCTGAGCTGAAAACTTTTTCTTTATATATTTTTTTTAGCGATTTATAAGAGTGTAAATCATAAAGTACCATATGCTCTCATGATAGTTGTTCAACTAACTTTGATGATCTGTGCGCATACATAATAAAATATCTGTAATTAACAACTGAAAAATAAATATGCAACCTTGAAAAATATTATAAATGCAATATTTCAGACAACTTCAATTTGCAAAAATTTTATAAAATAAGTTTGTAAATAAAATGCAAGGATAGAAATGTATGTCATTACGAATATGTCTTTACATTAGAATCTCATTTAACAGTTTTGTTTATTTTGATTGCATCTCCATCATTTTGCCTTTACATTGAAAAAAAAAAAAATGTTTTGTAAATTTTTTTAAACCTAATTTTATTAAAACATTTTTTATTTAAGATAAAAATGGTTCAAGTGGTTAAATAGTAAATTTGTGAACAGCAGTATACCATTTCCTAGATCGCATATTAACGTAAGTGTTATTGAAGTATTTTTCTTATTTGTCAAACTTAGATATCATGCTGGAAGCAGGTGTATGTCTGTTGGCCCCAAGAAAATTGTTTCTCGAAAATAACACTTACTTGATATACACAATGCACATTGCACAAACTTGCTTCATTTCTGAAAATGATTTCTTAAAATGGATTTAAGACCGCAGTCTTATCCATAGCGCTTCTTTTCAGCATCTTTATAATGCATTTTCTTTTGCCAAAATGTCTATCTTAACTTATCTAAGGTGACGTCTCTCAACAAGAATTTAAAAAGATATTTTTATGGTTTGAAACCTAACCATTTCAAAATAAGTATATATCTTATTCCTTCAGGATAACCATGGATAAAGAAGAGAAGATATCTAGTAGGTGTAAACCTGAAGGAAGCAGAGATAATGGAAAGATGATTACTTCTCTTCTCCCTCTGATAAGTGTACTGACCCTACCAAGGGTTCCTGCACTAGACGATATGTGTACTGATATAATCAGGCATATTCTTCAGGTACAATCTTTTCTTGCTTTGATTGACTTAAAGGTTCTGTAGACGTAATTTTAAGTATCCGTCTATTTCTAAATTAGCTTGTCTGATAAGTAATGGAGGCCTGACATCTAATCATTAATATTAATAATTTGACAAACATTATCCTAATTCTCTTTCCTTTCAACATTCTATGATGTACATTTTGCAGTTCCTGGATTACAGGAGTAAGAAGATGCTGAGGGAAGTATCCTCTACTCTCAAGAACAGAGTGGAAGGATGTGGGGATAAAATGGTTCATTACTGGAGGTTTTCTACCGAGTTTACAACAGATCAGTTCATCAAGTTTGCTGATGAAGTTGAAACAGTTTTAGGTAAATGAAATAAAACTGGATTAAACATCTTTTTTAATTTCATCACATTACATTTTCCAGGTTTTGAAGTACGTGATGGTACAGATGATGGTGTTAAGTATCTTGTGAAGTAACATCCTGAAATTTTTATGTTTCAACTTGGAATTGGAAGTAAATTCACGTCAAATGGATTGCTGCAGATACTGCAATTTTGTGGAAGTACACTTAGATCCCTGGATATATCAGTAAAAAATATAACTGGAGAGAATCTGTCTGAATACAAGGGAACTCTGCCTTGTTTAGAAAACCTGAACATGAGTTACTGTTATCAACTCACAGATAAAGGACTGCTGCAGATACTACAGTTTTGTGGAAGTACACTCAGATCCCTTAATTTAATAGAAACAGAAATAACTGGAGAGAATCTGTCTAAATACAATGGAATCCTGCCTTGTTTAGAGATCCTGAACATGAGTTACTGTACACAACTCACAAACAAAGGACTACTGCAGATACTACAGCTTTGTGGAAGTACACTTAGATCCCTGAATTTAATAGAAACAGAAATAACTGGAGAGAATCTGTCTGAATACAAAGGAGCCCTGCCTTGTTTAGAGATCCTGAACATGAGATATTGTAAACAGCTCACAGATAAAGGACTTCTGCAGATACTTCAGCTTTGTGGAAGTACACTTAGATCCCTTAATTTATTTGAAACAGAAATAACTGGAGAAAATCTGTCTGAATACAAGGGAACCCTGCCTTGTTTAGAGAACCTAAACATGTTTTGTTGTAGACACCTCACAGATAAAGGACTGCTGCAGATACTTCAGCTTTGTGGAAGTAAACTCATATTCCTGGATATTTCAGAAACAAATATAACTGGAGAATATCTGTCTGAATACAAGGGAACCCTGCCTTGTTTAGAGAACCTAAACATGAATTACTGTAGACACCTCACAGATAAAGGACTACTGCAGATACTTCAGCTTTGTGGAAGTACACTTAGATCCCTGGATATAGGGTGTACAAATATAACTGGAGAATATCTGTCTGAATACAAGGGAACCCTGCCTTGTTTAGAGATCCTGAACATGAGATACTGTAAACACCTCACAGATAGGGGACTGCTTCAGATACTTCAGCTTTGTGGAAGTACACTCAGATCCCTTAATTTATTAAAAACAGAAATAACTGGAGAATCTCTGTCTGAATATAAGAGAACCCTGCCTTGTTTAGAGAACCTAAACATGAAATTCTGTAAACAACTTACAGATAAAGGATTACTGCAGATTCTTCAGCTTTGTGGAAGTACACTTAGATCCCTGGATATAGTGTACACAAATATAACTTCAATTAATCTGTCTGAATACAGTTACCTCAGAGTTGCAAGTTAATTTATATAAAATAATTTCCATTTTTACTTTCTTAACAAACTGGATATACAGAGTTCAAATATAACTGGAGAGAATCTGTCTGAATACAAGGGAACCCTGCCTTGTTTAGAGAACCTAAACATGAGTTACTGTATACACCTCACAGATAAAGGATTACTGCAGATTCTTCAGCTTTGTGGAAGTACACTTAGATCCCTGAATATAGTGGACACAAATATTACTAAAAATAATCTGTCTGAATACAGTCACCTCAGAGTTGCAAGTTAATGTATTTAAAATAACTTCCACTTTTACTCTCTTAACAATAATGTAAAGTGTTCTTATGATAATTCTTTTCGAAAAAACAATCGATCTTAAGGCTGGGTATAGAGATGTTTTTAGATTGATGCTAAATCTTGTGAATTTCTGTTTTGAATAAAAATTGTGGCAATTTGCGTTTTAAAGTTTACGAACCTTTTCTCACTTAGCTGTTTTTTAGTTAAAATAAATCTAATATGTCATGATTTTTGAAATAAACTGTACAATAGTGCTGACTGCTGATGACTATTTTTCAGAAATAAACATTGTACCAAGCAATTTTTTCCTCATAAATATTTTTTCACAATTTTTTAATAATATTTTATTACCTTTACTGAATGTCTGCTGTAGTTGTGTATATAATAGATTAGGATTGTGTAGAAGTCGTAGGAAAAATTATACCCTGAGCTGAAAACTCTAGAACTGTGGATATTGAGACCAAAGCTCTTATTATCAATCTCAAGTTTAATCTTATGTGTTTGTCCTGAAAAGTGTATAAAATTCAACCGGTATAGTAGCGTATGCAGAATTCCATACAGCCAATCAGAATTTGGAAAATGTGAAATTGAATTCGCCATTTAATGACCTCTCATTGGTCGGTATTTTATAGGGGTTTCAAAAACGAGAAGAAGAGCGGATTTAGAAGGAAATTGTTAGTACATTGGATATTCAGATTAAGGGTATCCAATTCTAAAGTTCCCAGCATTATCTTTATACATTTCATTTCTTATTCTTGTAAAAAGATATCAATTTCGTATATATTTACTTAAAACTTAAAGCTATCCAATGTACACACTTTTGATTTTCTTCTTATAATCCTCTTTTTGGATATTTCTACTTTTTAAAATTATGTTTGCTAACACTTACAGATACAATGCTATATCGATTGGACTAATATCCGATTGAATTATTGTCAGCTGTTCACAAGCCGGCTTTTATAGCATTTAAACAAATAAAAATTTAACCATGTTAATATGAAATTTATTAAAAAACATATTTTAGGACTAATGTCATTTTGAACATGTTAGTCTTTATAAACATTAATCCAAAACTTACGTTCGTTCAATCGATGTTTAGTTCATTTGATATGGCACATTCAACATCAGAAATCAAAACCGGTTTTTCAAAAGTTAAAGAGTACATTTTACCATGACTTGCTGATTGGTTAAAATTTTTAACTTCTTTCTTCGTATATCAAATGCGTTTTAAAATAATCTTGGGTTTAGTAAAAGCTACCCCTAAACGTTAGAATAAATATTATAGAAGTAATAAATAACATTTTTAAAGAAAATGTTTAATCTTTAAATATTCATGCAGTGTTTTCTTGAATATCCAAAAAACATTGCATAACAATTAGAATATTAAATATTTTTCATAAATATTTATATTTTCATATATTACTTTTATAATATCTATTCTAAAGGATAGGGTAGCGCCTGGTCATTTTAAATACTCATTTGCAAATTCAGAGGCTTGGAGACAATTTCCCGGGGCTTATGGCGTCCCTGCACCCCTTCCTAACTCTGCAGTAGATCTGTATTAATTTATTTTGCTAGATTTTTAAACATTAAAACATAAATCTATCTATCTGCAATAATCTTGCATATCTTACATTCCCATGACTCAATCTTCCTGTATGATTTCGAACCTTACTGAACCAGCCCAGTTTTGCATAACATTTTGTCTTCATGGATGAAAAATAACACAGAAGTGCACTTTGAGATATACTTGAGATACGCTTGAGATACGTTTGAGATATGTTTGAGATACCTTTTGAGATACGTTTTTGATACGTTTGAGATACATTTGAGATACGTTTGAGATACTTTTGAGATGCCCTTAAGATAAGTTTAAGATATGTTTGAGGTATGTTTGAGGTATGTTTGAGATATGTTTAAGATACGCTTGAGATACGTTTGAGATACATTTGAGATATGTTTGAGATACGTTTGAGATACGTTTAAGATATGTTTGAGAAACATTTTAAGACATTTAAAGCTTTTGACTTTTTTTATGGCTCTACAAGAATCTGAGTTGTTTATCCTATTTCAAAGATACCGAGTTCTTACCACCACCTTGAATGTTTGAAGCCATATATATTTGCAACCTGATGGTGGTATTCTTTTATAAACTTTTATTTAACATAATTCAAAATTTAAAATATCAAAGGTCTACAATATTAGGTTGCAAAGATATAGAAATTAAAAAGTCGGAGTTTTTTTATAAATCCTTGTTTGCTCGATAAGTTTATTTTCATTACACTTTATTACTCTGAGTCTTTCCAAAAGATTAAAACGATTTTTTAAATTTTCAATAAATTCTTATTCTTGTAAAAAGATATCAATTTCGTATATATTTACTTAAAACTTAAAGCTATCCAATGTACACACTTTTGATTTTCTTCTTATAATCCACTTTTTGGATATTTCTACTTTTTAAAATTACGTTTGCTAACAATTACAGATACAATGCTATATCGATTGGACTAATATCCGATTGAATTATAGTCAGCTGTTCACAAGCCGGGTTTTAGAGCATTTAAACAAATATAAATTTAACCATGTTAATATGAAATTTATTAAAAAAAAACATATTTTAGGACTATTGTCATTTTGAACACGTTAGTCTTTATAAACATTAATCCAAAACTTGCGTTCGTTCAATCGATGTTTAGATCATTTGGTATGACACATTCAACGCCAGATATCAAAACCGGGTTTTCAAGAGTTAAAGAGTACATTTTAACATGATTCGCTGATTGGTTAAATTTTTAACTTCTTTCTTCGTATATCAAATGCGTTTTAAAATAATCTTGGGTTTAGTAAGACCATGAGCCAGCGATTTGAAAGCTTCGGTTCGGGTCGTAATTCCTTAAACCCAGCTTTAAGGCCCAATCTTAGACTCAACTCTGATGTCTTGTGTCACATGCAGATTGACAGCTGCGAGATCTTAGGCTCGACTTAGAAAAAAATATGTTACGATAAAGTTTTGCAGACTGTGTTTCTTTTAACAACTTACTTCAAGACTACTTCATCCAGGATATTCTTAGTATGTTAAAAATTAATGCTGAAACAAACTGGCCTTGAGGAAACCGACCTAAAGGGTATTTGAACCCATGTCTTAACCTAACCTATTCGAAGATCTTGATTCTTTGTTGTCAGTAACCAAATCCATGTACTTGCATACAAGCTTTTGTACAAGCTTACCTACAAAAGATGAGACAAAAGACCAAACAATACATTACTTAACTTTCTGGTTTACTCCATTAAATGGTGTGGAATAAATCTTGTATTGTAAATATCGAGATCAATTGATCAAGATTTTTGTTAATCTGCAGATTGATTTATTCTTCATTCTATATCCGCAGTATTATTGTACGCTGAAGGGATAACAGTGCCTACAGTGAATATCGATATAATCGATTCAAATTATGATTATCCAATACTAATGTTCCTAGCTCAGGACACCCAGTTTATTTTAATAGTGATGGGAGATTCAAATATGGTCGCAGGACTAATTTAAATATCTGAAAGATATTAAATTAGTTTAAAATGTTGTCCTTGAAATACCCAACACTATAATAATCAGGGACCTCTTCCACGTAACTGTAAACTGGCCGGATCTTAACCTAAAACTAGAAATATTTGGAATTTTTGGAAAAATCCGTAAAATCCCACAATTGTTGCCTAATCCGTTATGACCAACAGTACTCACAGTACATATAATGCCCCAGAATTCACTTAGGCTATGATCGATTTGGGGGGCGTGGGGACTATTAAAATAAATCATAGTTTAAACTGTTTTTCTAAAAAAAATATAATTTTAACCATTTTTAAAAAGTTAAATTTTTCCAATGTCAATCAGAAAGTCTTAACGGTAATAATTGTAATGAAGAAATAATTTTTCAAAGGGTTTAAATAGACATTCCTTTATAACAATTTTCATTTAATCCAGCCCCTTTTAATAATGATTATAAATAATAAAAAATATTTTTTATAAAGGAATGTCATTTACTCTTAACATGTTCTCAATTTAAATAGAAGATGG